CAAATATCATAGGTTTCCTATGGATAGGGAGTATCTCTTGTATCATCTCTTTCCACCTGGAGTGTGAAACAACATTAAACTCAAACTTATTTGTATTATACCTTATTAAAAATATTTTATGATCTGAAAAGATACATTGCTTCTTTTCTGTGTCTGAAATAATGATGCACTTATGTTGTTTGTCTGTCTCAGAATTCTTAGAAACGTCACCAGCCAATCTCAACTTAGAGGATATAGAAGATCTCTTCTCTTTGGCACAATATTACTGTAGCAAAACTCCAGCTTCCTTCAGGAAGGTAATAGCAAAGTAATTTTGACACTCTCTTCTTTTTGTTGACTGTTTAAGCTCTTGCTGACAATAACTTTGAGTGTTTCATTGTGGTGTTTTTCTTAAGCAATTTTTTTTCATGTTGTTACCCTGGTGGTATTTAATGGTAAGATCTTTGAAATATAAGAGAGTTAAGTAAAACATATTAGAGAGAAGCTTCCCTGCAACTTTCTCACTTCATGACTGATGACCTTGTTTTGCAAACCAGGTTCTTGTAAGAACTAGGGAAGCAAGAATGCCAAACTGACACAACTGTGTGGTAGTGGTCTGCACAGAAGTCCTAGCTGTATTTGCAACAGCAAACAGGGAAAAGTCACTTACTAGAGATAAAAGTTGTCACCTGCACTGTTCTTACAGTTGTGCTGGTATGGGCTTCTCTGATGTGTGTAACTGGTGTGTGAGGTCTTGGAGGGGAGATAAAAAGGAAAACAGAGATGTCATAGAGTGTTTGTCAGGCTTACTGTTTGTTCCATGGTGGATATAGTTTTACTTTAAGCCTTCACATCTAATGACAGTGGCTTCAGTTAACTTTTTTTCTCCTTCTTGCTTTATTAGGACAACCACAGTCTTTTTGGCAGCAGCTTGCTGGGTCTCAAAGATGATGATACAGATTTGAGCCAGGCTCTCTGTCTAGCAGTTTCTGTGTCTGAGATTCTTCAAGCAAATCAGCAACAAGGAGTCAGTATACTGAATTAATCTTCCTCCACCACCCCCCCCAAATTTTACAGAAAAAGAAAAGAATCATTTACTGCTTTGTACAATCACAAGTATTTTGATGTGCTAATAACAGAGATGAGTATTTGCTGTTCAAGAAAAAATATTCTTGTCTTAAAGTTGTTGCTTTCCTAAAATGATCTGCTGACTGGAGTTCATTTGTGCTGGAGCAGCTGGAGCACAGGGGAGCTTAATGCATTTGATTTGAATCTGAGGAGTGGGGACTTAAAGTAATATCTCATTAATTTGAATTCCTTTCTAAATATAGCTATTGTAGAAGAAAATTTTAAACCCACTATTCAGTACTTTTAAGAAGAATGTCAATAGGAAATATCTGTCTTTTTGTCAATGAAAGGTTTAAATAAAACAAAAAATAAGATTCAAGCTATTTCCTGTAGTATTGAAATCAGTATTAAAATATAATTGAATCAGGTACATTTCCATCCATAATTATATGAGTTTAAAATGTTGTAACAGACAAAAATCTTTCTCTTTCAGGAAGGAGTGAGATTCTTTGTAGTGGATTGCAGACCTGCAGAGCAATACAATGCTGGGCATTTATCAACAGCATTTCATTTAGACTCAGATTTGGTTTGTATGCTTTCTGTTTCTTTACTGATTTTTGATTTCTAAGTTAAACAGAAGGAGAGAGAAATGTCTTTCTTGAAAAATAAGTTATCCTTAGTTTAAACTCTAGTCTGTAGGCTGTGGTGTTGAGCTGTGTGATGAGGTTTCAGCTGTTAGCTTCTCTAAAGGAGATTTGTGAAACAGTCATTTTACTGAGAAGTTTGGTCCTTGATGGCATTAGAGTTTGGGATCCCAGACTTCCTAGTCCTTGGTTAGAACTGGAAACCCATAATACATGCTAAAGTCCAGATGCTGTTTGGAGAAGTATCTTTTTAGCATCATAATTTCTAATGAGAGATGTCATTAATTTTAACAAGTAGCTGGTTTTTTCCTTTTCTCTTTTCCTCATCCATTCTTACTACAGCCTTCCTGTAAGGCACATGTCTAGAAAAGGTTTTGGTTGGTCCTTTAAAAGTTTTGCAGTACAGTGTTAGAGGAAGTACATTCATTTTGGGATTGAGATGTACTATGAACTAATTACTCCACTAAAGCTTTTGCTGTAGTTTCCATTTGATTATGAACTCCTAATTGAACATTCAGTCATATTCTCTGTCCTTTTTTCCCCAAATCACTTACACTTCAGTGGGTTTACAGTGTATTCTTCACTTCTAGATTAACCAGCTAATCTTTCACTTCAGACAGTCTATAGATGCTGCATGGAATTATTTCTATTTATATACCCCATAAAAGGCTTTTTTTTGCCATTTTTAGTTCAGAAGCTCAGTCCTACATCAATTACCTTTACCTAATTAGAATGATGTATCGTTCAGTATTATTTGCACAAGTATAATTATATAGGAGAGAAAAGGAGGCTGAGGGGAGACCTCATCTCTCTCTACAACCACCTGAAAGGAAACAGCCTCAGGTTGCTCCAGGGGAGGTTTAGACTGGAAATTAAGAAAAAATTTCTTCACCAGAAGAATTGTAAAGCACTGGAACAGGCTGCCCAGGGAAGTGGTGGAATCACCACCCCTGGAGATCTTTAAAAGACTTTTAGAAGTAGCACTCAGGGACAATGGCTTAGTGAGAATTTTCACCCTTCAATATCCAGTTACAGGTCAACGTTTCCTTATTAATTTAAGTAAGTACCTTCCTCACAAGAGCAGGTTGAAATTTCAGCTGTATTTAGAAATTCTTTGTCTATCTCTTTCATATAGCAGCTCATTGTTTTTGCATGCATAATAGGCCTTCAGGAGACTACAACCTTAACTTGGAGAGTACCAAGAATCCTAGATATCTCCTTGTACTCATGATTTGTATTTTTTGTTCCAAATCTTGATGAGTAAATGAGAAAAAGCTTTGCAGGGAGACAACAGGAAGAAGACCTTAATGGCACTTAGACATTCCAGGTGTTCTAAAGGATTTCAAAACTGCAAAGTTTGATTGTACTGTGCTCAAGCATGTGGAAATGTGGAAATCAGTTCCTCTGCTGTATATTGTACTATGCTCAAGCATGTGGAAATCAGTTCCTCTGCTGTATTGCCAACTTAGCACAACGTGGAACTTGCAAAGACTTTTTCCACTGTTATCTTGTGTCTGCAAAAACTGCATTTCTTTCCTGGGGAGAGCAAGGTGGAATGATGAAGAAAAGGACCATTCTCAGCATTCTTTACATAACATGAGGTCTAGGTCAGGCTATCTTTTGTGTGTGTGTCTTGTACAGTGCTAATGTTGCCTTGTCTGTGCTCCACAAATTACAGTGATTTTCCAAGTTTATCTCTTTTCACAAGCTGTGTTACAGTGTGTTGGTGTCAAGCAGTGCTTTTTGTTTATTCATTCCACAGATGCTTCAGAACCCATCAGAATTTGCACAGTCTGTAAAATCTCTGTTAGAAGCACAAAAACAGTCTATTGAGTCTGGCTCCATAGCTGGTGGGGAACATCTCTGCTTCATGGGAAGTGGCAGGGAAGAAGAAGATATGTATATGAATATGGTGCTAGCACACTTCTTACAGGTACAACTACATTGCTGTTGACTTTAATAGCTGAAATATGTCTGCACATATCGTTGATACTAAATGGCAAAATATTTCCCCCTTAAAATATTAAATGTTTCTACACTGTTCAAGTTGACAGTTTTTATTAAATTAACACGTGTTTCATTACTTTGCCTGCAAACCTCACTCTACATAGTTTTGCTTCAGCCAAAAATGTCTTTTCTGTTGCAGAAAAATAAGGAGTATGTAAGCATTGCCAAAGGAGGATTTATGGGTAAGCTTATTAATGAGCTTTTGCTTGAGAAAACTTGGTATAACTGTTGATACTTTTATTAGTCTTTGGCTAGAAATTGGCTAAATAGCAGAGAGGTCTCATTTGTGAGGTTTTTGTTTTAAGTCAGCACTGTGGTTGTGTAAATCAACGTTTATGGCTGTTAGGTCTTGCCCAAATTTCTGAATGGTGAAAAACTAGTACAGGAAGTGGGGTAATTCCCTCTTTCTTCTGACTTGATGTTTAGCCTCCATAGATTGCAGGTCTGTATGAAGATGCTATTTCATCATCACTGTTAACTTAGTTTGTGGTTTCTTAAATTATCAGTTCAGTTCCAGGCTACAACAGTGGAGAGATCTGTGCTACATTATGGGTAACATCAGTCAGTATGTGCAGTGTCATAACAGTTATCCTTAGGATCAAAGCAGTGATTTATTTTTAGTTGCTGCTGGATTTTAACTGTTTTCTTCACTAAAATAAAGATTATCCTAATGCCTTTGTATTCCTGAAAGAAAAGCCCAGGGGTGATGGTAGCAATATCTGAATTTATCTCTTTTATTAAATGATGTGGAGTGTTAATAACTCTTGGATATACAGTGTTTTCATCAACAGACTAATTCCATTGTAGTTCTAAACATTTTTTTTAATTTTTAACAGCCCTCCAGCAGCACTTAGCAGATATCAATGTGGAAGGACCAGAAAATGGATATGGCCACTGGATTGCTAGTACCTCAGGCTCAAGAACCAGCATAAACTCCTCTGTTGATGTAAGTGAATGTTAAGCTCAAGTGGTATAGTAGGATGGGAGTCCCAGGTGTACTGAATATTTTCTTCATATTCCTCATTCTGTTCTGTAAAATGCATTACTTGAGTCATCACTGTTTTCAGTTGTGTGTCTTAATTTCAAACTATATTCACTGTTAGGGAATGTAGTCTCGCTGGAGGTGACCCAGACATTTTTAAGCTCTTAGGAAGAAGAGCTTGTAGAGAAGAACTTGCTGTAGTCATTCTCCAACAGAATATATGTAATGGGCAGTTAGTTTCCTTGGCCTTCTTTGCTGTAGGAATGAATTACTGTAAAACTGGTTCATACAGTTTCTTGGGAAAGATCAAAACTGTCTCTTTTCTACAGCTGATATGGTGTATGTAGAATTTGGCTTTTAATTTAGATACAGCTTACCATTAATAGAATGCCTTCCTCTCTAGATTTTCATAGCCAGAGATGAAAAAGATTCCTTTTATATGAGTAATCCTGAGAGGAGTTACTTTTACAGGGTGATTCTCCCAATGGTTCCAGTGATGGAAAAGGAGTAAAATCCCTGGTCAATAAAATGACGGTTGCTTTGAAGACTAGATCTGTGAATGTGAAAGAAAAAGTTATTAGTTTTATTGAAAACACATCTACTCCAGTGGACAGGTGAGTCATTTGTATCTCACTGAATTAACAGTGACTTCCCATTTCATTGTAAATGTGAAGACTGTGCTAATTACAAAAAGTTCCCTTCCCATTTCAGCGTATAGATTTCCTACACTTGGCATCCTCACAATTTTCTCAGGACACAGTAAGACTACTGGACTGCTTTAGTATTGCAAGGCCAGGCTGAGCAGCCTTTTCCCTTGAACATTTATCTAGAATTTGTCACTGTGTGGTTAGTTTGACTTCTTACAATGTCTTGGTTCTGTATTCAGTCCAAAAGTCAAGGATTATTTCACTTCTATTTCGGTTCCTCCACATCATGACTATAGTGGAATGGGTGAATGACAGATTCTAGATGGGTTTTTTATTTGGATGGTTTTATTCTATCTTGAGGGCTTTTTCTTTTTTTTTTTTACTGCCTAACCTTGTCAAGTTGAGGTTAACTTCTTCTGAAATCCTGATATAAAGCTGCTTTTCAAACCTAGAATCAACACTTATTCACTTTTTTGTATGTTTAAGTAGAGCTTAGAACAAGAACATATAAACATGTTAAAAGGCACTTTGAAAGTTGGAACTTATAATTCCAAATACTTAATTAGATAACAGAATAACAGCTTTAGTCTGACAAAGCTTTAATTGAATAGCCTGTTCTAGAATTCTTTAAAATGCAGCCTTTGGAGTTGTATTTTGCTAAGACATTGGTATTCAAGAATCTTACAGAGCTAGTGTTTGATAGCAGGATTCAAAATGTGTGAAATGAACAGAAGTCTTCTACCTAATCAAAAGGTACAGATTGTTCCTTCTTTTTGTGTTGGAAAATTATTTTTCTAATCATTATTATTTCACAGTTAGAGGCCAAAAAAATCTTAAATAGCATGTGGCAGTAGCCTTGCTGTGTGAAGAGTTCAAGGAAGGCTTGTATGTAAGCCACACACAGCATGCAAAATGCATCTTTCAGCAGAATTTTTACAACTATTTCCCTACCTTGTGGCTGCCATGAAGCACTGCTTTTATTTATAAGCCTCTTACCTGAAGAAGATACATTGCCAATATAGAGCATTTCAGTTATTTATCTTATATTCTTCCCTTAAACTCTTTTTTTTTTTTTAATTCTTTTGTTCTGTCCTCTGCCCCACTGTACTATAGAATTCCTTTCAATATTCCCTGGCCAGACAGAGCAAGCCTGGAGCGGTAAGCTTGACAATTAAGTAGTCTGACTAAACCCACCATTGTCTTATTTAGCATGGCATTACAGTATTTGTAAGCATTGGTTACACTGACAAAGTTGCTCACATTTTTTATATTAATTTTGTGTTGTTGAATAGATAAAAGCTATTAGTTTTTACAAGTACTGGTCAGGGGACTAGAGGAGGAAAGAATGTGTGTTGGCAGGGCTTTCTTCTGTTAGTTTCTGTTTTGTTGTTTCTGTTCTCTTCCTTACTGTTGCTTTTTATGAGATTTTCTTTTTTTACCTGCAGTTTCCTATTTGTATTTAAAAAATGACTTGTACTAGTGAAAGACACAAGGAGCAATTACTGAACAAATTATGGCTTAAGGTTTTAACACCACACTACAGCTATGAAAAGGGCTTGTTTTTTTATGAACAGCTCATAACATCAGAGCTTAGATAGAACAAAGAAACCATACAAAAACTCTGTCTGGAAATCTGGAATTTTTCTGCTGCACATCATATGGTGATAGAACATGCTGATAGGAACAGAGGTGCTCAGTACTGGGAAAAGAAAAATGCTGAGTTTTTATGAGAAAAAAGCATAAGCAGATATGCCTTGCAACTCTCCCTCCTCCTGCTCACTTAACTACTGCATTCCACACAGATGTGGGCTCCTTTCACATTTGTCTCAGACTTGTGATAAATGAAGGTTACCTCTTGCCTAATCACCTTGGAACTTCAGTTATGCTTTAGGAACTCTATATTACAGCTTTTGACCCTCATAGACTGGAAAGCATGAAGAATGATGCTGGGGGAATTAATGAAGATTTTAAAATGCTGTTTGGGTTTTCAAGGATTTTGGACCAATTCTTCTTTCAAGTAGTTTGCTTGTGATTTGGGATAGGATTTACCCATAAGCATTACAGAATGGCATTGTGTGAGCAAAACCAACAGTGATGTTAACCAGTATTTTAAAAAAAAAAAAAAAATAGTTGGAATATCCCAACAGCACATGATATATTTTGTTCATTTAGAAATCCTGGAGATGATGGGGATTTCTCACCAGATTTTGTTGACAAGTTTTTAGAGTATAGTAATGAAGTGTTAAAGTTCCAACTTAAAACGTTTGGTAACTGTGTTTGGTAACCAAAAGACACTTGAATCTGTATTTGTAACCAAGAAGTTTTGATATACTGGTTATTTTACTTGTTCCTCTCATTCATATTGCTTAACTTCTTTGGGAAGGTGCAATAATAAATATGCTTACACTGTGGGTCACTAGACTGTTCTCTTAAAAGGGTAGCTCCTAAAAACCTCAAATGGAATTCTTTTCCCATCCATTCAGTTAGATCCACTTTGTTTAACACCAATAGATTTCATTTGGCACATATGCCACTAAAGGGAATTGCATTCAGTTTGTAGTGATGTGATGATGGCCTCCCATGCAAGCAGGTTAAAGGAAATCCATTTGAGTTGAAGATATTACCAGGTTTTCCTAAAGTAGCTTTTTACTTTCTGCTGTCTTGACTAACATTGATCTATAAACACCAAAGAGATCATCTCTTAAATCCTCTCTGTGCAATTCAGTTTGACACTAACTGTGCTGCTTCTTACTTAATTGGTTATGTAGTACCAAAGCATATTTCCAAAAGCCTTCATACAGGAGCACTGCCTTCTTGAATTGTCAGTGTCATTGATGCTTATTGTCTGAAAAACTAATGAGCATGTTTCTGTATGTTTGTTCTGTTTCACTGTAGAATGCATTTCTGTTGTGTTTTTTTTTGGTTTTGGGGTTTTGTTTGTTTTGGTTTTTTTTTAAACTATTAAACATTTCCTTAGTTTGTAGGTTTCTTTCTTTAACTTTCAAATATGCTTTCAGGTATACATAAGTACTGCCATTTATTTATATATTACTAAAGAGGTTGCCTCTCCAACTTGGTTCTATACCATGTAAACTGGAGTTATGAATATACTTAAAACAGGAACCAGGGCTTATAGTCTCTAGGAAATACAAATTATGGGGAGGGAGGTTATAGAAACTGAAATGGGCAAGTGGACAGGTGTGGTTTGGGTTTTTTTAAATTACTGCATTGCCCCTTCTAAAGTCTAAAATCATGAACTGCAATGGTTGGTTGGTTTGGTTTTTTTTTCCCCAGCAATTCCCTGTTTTGTGGGTTTCTGAACCATTAGGTTTTCTCATATTTTTTCCAGATATTCTCAACATCTGAGAGCCAGAACTTTCAACATGACAGCTGTGATCACAGCAGTCAAAGCTGGATCTTTAAAATCTCAGGATTTGCAACTTACCATCAAAAATTGAGACTCAGTTGTATTTGTGTCATTTAGTATGGTCTGTAGAAATACATTTAAATCTGATTTTTGAGGTCAATATCTATGCAGAGATCTGTGAGGCTGGGATTTTAGCAGTAGGAGTTGCTTGCCCAAAGATCTCAGGATCTGGATCGTGCTGGAGAGAGTAATGGACTGGAAGTCAGAGTTCATGCTACAGGGGATAGTTTATAGTAACCCCACTTGAAGTGCATAAGGTATTATCCTATCTTTTGAGGAATTAACCAAAAAAATGAGCTTCCAGACATGTTAGTTCATAGTCTTTATTTTTCCCTCCATCTCAGTTTGGCATCCTTGTAAAGCTGCCCTGGCTGTCCAGAAATGTTTCAATTTCATACTAGAAACTCTATAGCACATTGTCAGTTTTCAGGTCTCTAATGTGTTTTGTCAATTGAGAAGGTGATCAGAAGATCCTTTTAAAACAAAAAAGTCTTTCTTTTCACTTCATTACAACAGTCAGCCTTGCCAAGTAACTGAAATACATGCTGCCACTAACCAAATTGCTTGATGGGTCAGTCACAGCTTCCTTGCAGGCAGCTTCCTGAAATTCTCTTGCCCTTCTCAGCTGCACAGCTACAAAGTGTTTACATTTTGCTGATATGTTGTTGTAGGAGTCATACCATCAGTCTGAAAGTTAATTTTCTTCTCCCATCCCTTGTCCTCTCCTGCCCTTTTCATTGCCAACAGACATGTCAGCAGCAGTGACAGAGTGGGAAAACCCTACCGTGGTGTGAAACCAGTGTTCAGCATTGGAGATGAAGAAGAGTATGATACTGGTACAGTAGATTTTCCTCTTACCTAGATTAGCTTCTTTACACAAAGTTATTAAGCTGCTAAGTCATAAGAGTGTATTTTATGTCTTTGTCTTACAATATGATGTTTTTCTATTATCATTGTTTGTGTTCATTATGATGAAGCCTAGGAGCAACCATGAAAGAAACATCCTCTTCAAATACATAGTAGCAGACAAAATAAAAAAGATTTTGTAGTAGGCACTAAAGAGTCAACAGGAAAAAATGGAAATATATGGGTTTAGTGGCTCATTCATGCTTCCTTGGTATTTCTGTGGTAAAGATCTGGGTTTTTTTACACTGGCCTTGCATAAATAAACCTGCAGCTGCACCTCTGTTACTCAAGACAGTGAGCAAAATGTAAAGGACCTGGTTTGGCTGATAGATCTCAGGTTCAATCTTTAATATTATCAATATTATATCTCTGAAGATATAGTTGGAGCTAGACTTAAGATGGCTAATGTGTGCACACCTCTCCAGTGTTTTGAGCATTGTTTTTTAGCATTGAATCTATTAACTGATTCATCTCGACAAGCATCCAGAATGCTGTAGAAAAAAACATGCAATTTTGATTTATTTTTTCTATCTAGTTAAAAAATTACTGGCAAAACTGGAACACTAAACTTGTCACAAAGTTGTTTGTTTTTTTTTGAGGCCACTGTTAGAGTAGTGCAGACCTGCTGTTGTCCTGGTTCTGTTCTCATAATCTCAGCTCTATAACATCATCTCACAAGTGACTGTTCTGTGACCAAAAGGCATACTTGGCTTCCATGTGAGAAACAACTAGAGTAAGAATCTTTGACCCACAAAAGAGAGAATTTAGGAAGGTCAATGACAGAGATTCATAGGATCTGGAGTTGTTTGAATAAGATTGATGACAAATAGTTGCTCCTTGTTTGTCTGCTATAGGAATTGAGAAGGAGCAAAATGAAATGATGCTTTAACAGTATATTTCTCCAAATGCAATGTAATTAAGATTACACAGTTCTTTGAGCATCTGTAAGAGTGTTTGGCAAAGTCTGGTTGCAGAAAACCAGGTCCTCAAGGACAAATTGTTTAGAACATATTTTCAGTAATGATTTGCTAATTTCTATTTACATTTGCTTTAAAAAGCACTATTAGAATGTAGTAAGTAAGCAAGCAGAATCACTGCAATGATTTGAATAAACCAAGCCAACACCATATGAAGTGAAATACATGTTACTTTGGCACAGAAGAATGCAAAATGTGAACTTGTTTCTGTGTAATTGTTTTTGTGATGTTTTAGTGTGGGGTTTATTTGTAGTAAATAATTGCAGTCAGCTGTAATAATTGCAGCCTGCTCTAAATGGCTCTGCTTGAGTAGCAGAGTTGAACAAGATGACCTCCAGAGGTTCCTTTCCATCCTTAACCATTCTGTGAAATGAGAATGGAGTTTTGTTTCCATTCCTTTCAATTTCATAATGTGTTTTTTTCAGTGAAAACCTTTCCAAAAGTGCAACTATAATTCTGAATCACTTTGAAATAGTTTAACAAAGTGTAGAAAGCTGGCTTTGAAAGAGATGTGTTCAAGATGTGTCCTTCAAAGTTATTTGTGGAAGTAATTTCCATGGATTTAATATAGTTTATTGTTTTATATTAGAAGAATTTAAGCAATTTGGTTATGTAGCACTAAAGTAACTCTGAACAATATCACTGTACTTAGACACAAAACCAGTATTTTGCAACTAAGTGGTAACTGTTGCAGGAGTTTTGGCTGTTTCACAGCTGTCTCTGCTGAAAACTTTGGGTTTGAGGGTATTATTAAATGTCCTTAGAAAAGAAGGTGAACCTGAAGATGAGTTTCACTCATGATCCAAGGTTATTGAAGATAGTAAGGAGAGACTGAAGAATTGAAGGAGTCTTTGACTGGTTGGGCAATAAAACAGGACATAAAATTCAGTAGGAATTAATGTGAGGTGAGAAAGACATGAGGAAAAAGCTGTTCATTTCTCAGAAATAATGTTTGAACGGGAGAAGGTTCATAGGGGGAGAAGGAGGGTGAGGAAAGATGTGAAATGGCCTTCACAACAGGCATAACTGAACATTAGGACTTCTGTTCTGTGAAATGGGCAATCTGAGTGAGGAAAGGTGGCCCACAAAATAACACTTGGTCTGGAAAGGGATCAACATGTGATTATTTTGTCTTGTACAAGAAGCCAGAAGTCACTTTCCTGGAATGTAGCTTTGATGGTTTTGATACTCCTTGCCAAAAGATATTGAGATTGCAGATGTAAAAAGTTGACATGGCTTCCAGGAAAGTTTGGACAAGTCCATGTAAAAGAGATCTGATAAATTTTACTGATTGGACAAATCAGACCAGCCTAAGAAATCCCAAGCTGAAAACAATTGTCTGCTGAGCTGGAATTAAGAAAAATAGCAGATACACATGCCACTTTTCTTTTTTCCCTTTGAATAATTGCTTATGGCTAGCTGGACCTTGATTTGACTAGTGTAGTTACTATGGGTTTAAGTGAGTTGAACTATTGTCTGATGTTGTTTGTAAATATATTTTTTTGTTTGTTTACTACCTCCCCTCAAAATAGATGAAATTGATAGCTCCTCAATGTCAGATGATGATCGAAAAGAGGTGGTCAACATCCAAACATGGATAAATAAACCTGATGTGAAGTATAACTTCCCCTGTAGTGAAGTAAAAGAAAATGGACACGTGTTTCCCAGGTACTGGAATTAGTCCTGAGTATAATGAAAACATCTGGGCAATTAAGTTATCCTTTATATTGAACCAGGAAATGAAGGTGTGAAACAATCTATAACAAAATGTTACCACTGTATGTGCATTCTTGCATTTGCAGTGTTATAGAATGGTACAAAATCTAGTTAAAAAGTTTTGATTTGCAAAACAAGGTAGTAAGTAAAATATTCTCAATATGCATAGGCTTATTTTTGAAGACCAGGTAAACCAAATGACCTGTGGCTCTAGTTTTTCTTGCCTGCTTGTCTCTGTGCCTTGTGCTACACACCCATCTTGCCCCTAAGATTCAACTTTGTTAACCCTGGAAGAGCAGAACATGATACTTGCTGTATTTTGGCTTCCCAAAAAAGGAACTTTTTCTCTTTACAAACAGTGAAAATCCAGTTGAGTCTGGATAACAGAAAATGATAATGGGCTTTCTCTTGCATTGTGGTCTGTTCTTGTGCTTTATGATTAGTTTGATTTTCCTACTAGATTTATTTTATATGGTGTATGATTAGTAATCTGTCACAGTATGACAAAACTGAGTTGGAACTCAACTGGTGTGTTCTGGGCACTAGTTGAACCATGCATTCCACCCATGAAGAAGGCAAAAGTGGGTCTTGAACTGAGCTGGCAGGTCAGCATCTCTCATTTCTAAATTACAGATTTTAAAGCTATTAAAACTCTTGGATTTAGAAACTGTTTTATCTAGCTCTCTCCATGTAGCTGATTTGTAGAACTGAGATTCTAACTAGCTGATATTTAGTTCATTAGCAAATTTAACTTGTGTTTTTCTTTTTCAAGTCACCTCCTAGTAACAGCAACTCACATGTACTGTTTGAGAGAGATTCCATCACGGAAGGGACTGGCTTACATACAGTCCCGACAGGCACTCAACTCTGTGGTGAAAATCACATCCAAGAAGAAACACCCAGAACTCATCACCTTTAAATATGGAAATAGCAATACTTCAGGCATAGAAATTTTGGCAGTTGAAAGGTAAGCTATCTCAGCAGCAGAAATGTAAGCAGTGATGATAGACAGAATGCTGTCGACTGGAAATCAGGAGCGTGTTGCAATTCCCAGAATTGAGTTGAAAGTAACAATCTACCTGGACTTGTGCAAAGCATTCAACACTATCCCACATGACAGCCTGGTCTGTCTTCTCAGTAGTTTTCATTTCAGTATATTCCCCTTCTCCTTCCTCCTAGTTTGTGCCAGAGGAAAAAATCAAAACAAGACTTATGGAATTGTTACTCCAAAATTTTACAGTGAATTAATGATTTTTTTTATCTTTTTTTTTAAGGTATTTGATTCCAAATGCAGGTGATGCTACCAAAGCTATAAAACAACAGATCATGAAAGTATTGGATGCCTTGGAGAGTTAATAACTAAAGACTTTGTAGAGGACAGTTTATAAAGAAGAAGCAGCCAAGATACTGTATGTGGACACAAGCTGTTTCCCAACTGAATACTAACTGAAGAGAATTTTTCTGGTTTCTGATGGGAGTGCCTGAGTAGCAGGCTTAAGATGGGGTAAATTATTATCAATTTCTGAACAGGATTTTAAGTTTTTCTTATTGTTACTATTTTTTTGTTAGTGTTTTGAAGAAATGTTTATTATAGAGGTCAGTTTGTTTTGTTTTTAACACAGCCTTAATGTGAATGATCTGCATCTTTGCAAGAGAAGATGCAGCTGGGTTTGCATTTGGTGTGTTAAAGTTATGAAGCACTGCCAGATAATGGAGGAACAGTTGAAAACAATGGGTTTTAAATTACTGTCCCTTGAAAGTAAAATGTCTCCTTTGTCTACAGTCTATAAGTTTGATTTTGCCTTCTGGGTAGTATCAAGGACTGATTAAAAACTTTTGTTTATGAGCAGAGTAGATAAAAATCTTAGAAATACTGTTTTTTTCTCTTTAAAACTGGTTAAGTCCAGTTTGGGGCACAGAAAGATAGAAAAAGTGCAAGTAGTTTCTAAAACTAACTTTTAAAATAGTCACATTCACTACTAGGTTAAATAATTGGAACTGGTGTTAAGGGTATTTTAAATACTAAAGTGAACTGTGCACAGTAAGCTTTTACTACAGGGTTATGATTTATTTTTTTAATTATGCAAAATTTTACATTTCATAGGTTGAGACTGTTTCTCTTGTAAAGATGAGTATGTGCATTGAAATCTGAAGTTGCTGCTTCAGGACAGAAGATGACAGTTGAAAACAAATTACCTTGCTCCTCAGAAAGAAAATGTCTGGGATAATAATCAGAGCTTTAAAAACTTTTGAACACACAAGTATGTGCTGCTCAAAGGTGTGTTCAG